CCTGAAGGTACCGCCTACTTTAGGAACATGACCAACTTATATCTTAAGAGTTTATTGTAGTGATATTTTTGGGACTCTCATAGATAAGTGCCAAGCACCTGCTTGGCTGTCCTGCTTCTTTCTCGGCTCTGGTCACCTTCTTGTGTCATAAAGGGGAAAGAGCCCAGGGATTAGAGGAGCAGTGAGACTGAGCAATGAGCAGTGTTCATTTTCCAAGAGTAGATTTCTTTTTTCCTGAAGTTCTTCAGAGTAGGAACCTAGAAAGGCTTTGTTGTCAGTCATGCTAGCTGGCTGTCCTCTATAGGAGCTTGCCTTTTGTTTTCTATCCCATAATTCAGAACGCACGTCTGCCTTCCCACTCTCTCCTCACTTCCCACCTTTTCCTTGCTCCTCAGATCGATCACCCCTGCCCTTCTCAATCTTACTCAGACTTCATCAAGACATTAAAATCTTTCAGAGGGAATACTCTTCATTCTCCCCATGACCAGATGGTCCGAGACCACACTGTTCTTTCTCTCCTCTTCTGTCCATGGTTGCACTTCCTCTTTATCTTCTGCAACATGATTGTCTCCTTTTTATTGATTAATTCTTCTTAATCTGTAAGATGCTCTTTAGAAGCCCCATCTTAAAACAAAGCAAAATCAATAGTCCAGTAATTCCACCTTCCTCCATGGTTACCACCCCGTTAGAGCGCCCACGGTCTCTCACCCATACTTTACTGACATCTTCTAGTTGATTTCTATGCTTTAGCTCCCATGCGATTTGTTCTCCACATGAGCAGCCATTGTGATCATTTAAAAATACGTTAAATCACTAAACATATTTGTTTTTAAATCCATTCAAGGCTCCCCTTTGTACTTAGGATAAAATCCATTTTCCATATATTGTCTTCAAGGTCCAGCCCAGCTGCCTCCAGCTCTGAGCCCCTGCCTCACCTTTAGCTGAGCACCCCCTTTGCCCACTCCTCCTTGGCTACACAGATTTCCCTACAGTTTCTCAAGGGCACCAGTCCTACCCATGCCTATGTCATCCTTTTAGAGCTTTTGCCTGGATGAGTTCCACAGCTTCTAGAGAGGCTGACACTTCCTCTTCCTCTTGGTTTAATTATTATTTCCACAGTGAAGTCTTCCCCAGTGGGTCCAAGGAGGGCTCTCGCCCCTGCTTTTCTCTATCCCAACACTATGTTCGTTTCCTGCATAGTACTTTATGGTTCATTAATATTTCCTTGTTTAATATTCAGACAAGCTGTGTGAGGGTAAGGACCCTGTCTGCTTTTCCACCACCGGGCAGTGCCTGGTACAAAGTAAGCATTGATGGTATTTTTCTTGAAATATGCAAATGCACGAATGCTGGTTAACAAATGAAGCTTAGCTCTGGTTTTATATCTTTTAGATACAGAGCTTGTTCTTTTACAACAGAAAGCCAATCCTTTACTTGAACTGCATATCCCTTTAGAGTTGCATTATTTTGGAGTTTGAGGGGTCCTTGGAAGGCCTCTATCCTACCTTCCCTATCATGGATGCCCTTTCTGTCATCGTCTTCTATTTCAATACAGAGTTCAGACTCGGCCTTGGGTTCATGTACTCTCTTGCTCCCAGTCTAAACATGGTGGCGGAGAGACACCCATTGTTGCTTTCCTCCCATCTCCTTTGGGCTCTACAACTTAGTAGTTCTGTGATCTTGGAGAAGTTACTTAATTTTATTGTGCCTCAGTTTTCTGAAATATAGAGTTATAATAACCACACACAGCAGTTGCAGTGATTCAGTGAGGAGAAATGCATGTGAAAACTTAATATGATAATACTCAGTGTGTTAGCCATAAGCCTACCATAGCCTCAGCTTTGTTTTCATTATTTCCATTAACTCTAGTCTTTTAAAAATATATATATTGTAATAAGGTACATATATCACAAAATGTACCATCTTAGCCATTAGATGGTTCGGTGGTATTACATACATTCATAATATTAATAGTTCGGTGGTATTACATACATTCATAATGTACACCTTAATGATGTTCATATTACTATGCAACCATCACCATTATTTTTTAAAAGATTTTATGTATTTATTCATGAGAGAGAGAGGCAGAGACATAGGCAGAGGGAGAAGCAGGCTCCAAGCAGGGAGTCCAATGTGGGACTCGATCCCGGGACTCCAGGATCACACCCTGAGCCGAAGGCATACACTCAACCACTGAGCTACCCTGGCGTCCCACCATTATTCATCTGTATAACTCTTTTCATTTTGTAAAACTGAAAATCTGTACCTCTTAAAATAACTTGCCATTCCTCCCTACCATCTCCTGCAAACTCTGGCAACCACTATTCTGCTTTCTGTCTGTGAATTTGACTATTCTAGAAGCCTCAAATAAATGGAATCATATATTTGTCCTTTTGTGTCTAGCTTACTTTACTTTGCATGATGTCTTCAAGGTTCATTCATATTGTAGCATGTCTTAGAATCTTTCCTCTTAAAGGCTGAATAATATTCCATGATGTGTAATATCACATTTGATTGATGAATATCACATTCATCCATTGATGGACATTTGGGTTATTGCCATCTTTTGGTTATTGTGAAAATGCTGCTGTTAACATTGGTTTACAAGTATCTCCTCAAATCACTGCTTTCCATTTTTGGGGGGTATATACTCAGAAGTGGAATTACTGGATCATATGGTACTTATATTTAAAATATTTGAGCAATTGCCATACTATTTTCCACAGTGTCTGTATGATTTTACATTCCCACCAGCAGTGCACAATGGTTCTGAATTCTCTACAATCTCAACATTTCAACTTTTCCTTTCCTTTCCTTCCTTTTTCTTTCCTTCCTTCCTTCCTTCCTTCCTTCCTTCCTTCCTTCCTTCCTTCCTTCCTTCCTTCCTCCTTTTCTTTTCTTTTCTTTCTTTCCTTTTCTTTTTTTGAGTGGTTGTTCTAATGGGTGTGAGGTGGTATCTCATTGTAGTTATGGCTTGCATTCCCCCAATGATTAATGATGTCGAGCATCTTTTTTCTTTAAAGATTTTATTTATTTATTTGAATGAGAGAGAGCATGAGTGGGGACCAGGGAGAGGAAGAGGGAGAAGTAGCTCTCCTGAGCAGAGAGCTTGACCAGGGCTCAATTCCAGAACTCGAGGATCATGACCTGAGCTGAAGGCAGATGCTTAACTAACTGAGCCATGTGGACACCCCAGTCATCTTCTTATGTGTTTATTGGGCATGTTTATCTTCTTTGGGTCCTCTTTTTTTTTAAATTAGGTTGTTTGGATTTTTGTTGAGTTTTAAAAACTCCTTATTCTGGATATTAATCCCTTATTAGACATATGATTTCAAATATTTTCTCCCATTCTGTGGGTCGCCTTTTTATTCTGATGCACAAATTTTTAAATTTTTTATTAAATGCAGTTTGTGTGTTTTTTTCTTTGTTGCCTGTGCCTTTGGTATTCATGTTCAGGAAATTGTTTCCAAATCCAGTGTCAGGAGGTTTTTGCCCTATGTTTTCTTCTAAAAGTTGTTTATAGTTTTAAGTCTTACATTTAAGTCATTGATCCATTTCATGTGATTATTGTATGTGGTATGAGATAGAGGCCCAACTTTGTTCTTTTAAATATGGATATTCAGGTTTCCCAGAACCATTTGTTTACAAGATTATTCTTTCCCATTGAATGATCTTGGCTTTGTCAGAAATTAGTTGACTGTATATGCAACAATTTATTCCTGGACCCTCTATTCCATTCCATTGGTCAGTACGTCTGTCTTTCTGCCAGTACCACACATTTTGACTTCTGTAGCTCTGTAGTAATTTTTGAAATCAGGAAGTGTGAGGCCTCCAGTTTTGTTCCTGTTTTTCATGATTATTCTGACTATTCAATAATCAAGGTCCCTTGAGATACCATATGAATTCTAGGATGAGTTTTTCTATTTCTACAATAAACTTTGGGATTTGGGTCAGGATTGCATTGAATCAGTAGATTACAAAGTATTGACATCTTGACAATACTAAGCCTTCTAATCCATGAACATGGGGTGTGTTTCCATTTATTTATGTATTCTTTCATTTCTCCCAACAATGTTTTATAGTTTTCTATACAGTTTTCTACTTCCTTGGTTAATTCCTAAATATTTTATTCCTTTTTTCCCTTGAATTTCAAAACTAATCATAGTTTATTAAAAAAAAACATTGAATGTGATGTGATAGCATTTTACAAATACAAGGATCTTCCCTATGTGTTTAAAAGTACTATATGCTCTTTAGCCCATACTAATACACAGGCTTCAAATTCTTCTCAATCCCATTGTGTGAGTATCTCTCCCCAGTCAGGCTGTGTGTGAAATCAAAGATTCCCTAGAGTCTGTACCATAATGCTATTTATATCAGGGTTAAGAACACAATAAGTTCCTAAGAATATACATTCTTTTATGAAGAATCCATATCTTGATCTGTGACTGTGTTGTTGGAGATCTTCAGATGCTTATATCTCTACATTCTGTAATGGTTATTAATGTACTCACTGAGCCAGGTCCAGGGCCTGTTGGAGGGTCTTACACTCAGCTATGATCCCCTCGTGCCCTTTACCACATGAGGGATTAGTGGGCCATGAGCCCCAGGTGTGCTAATGATGCTCTTCAGCATCTCCTAAAAGCGAAGACTGGAACCTGGCCTCATTGAACATCATGGAGTCCAGGATTACCATTAATATCAAACTCATTCATAGCCTCATTCAGCTCATCAATGGCCCTGTGGCCTTTGGCTTCTTCAGGGGGCAAGGTGGCTTGAGCAGCTTTGGAGATGCCAGCAGTGGCCTCCTAGACCTTTATAAACACCTAATTTCAATTGGCTCTTTTTCCAGCAACATCTGGGTGGTGGAGAAACACTTCGGAGGCCGTGTGCAGCATTGTGGTATTCTTCTATCGTGGCTACCATCTCATCCCACCAGTGAGGACCTGTTGTCTTCTTGCTACTACATAGTAAAGTTTCACCTTCTCTTTCCCCAGCTCTTTAAAGAGGTTGCAAGGTCCCGCTCATCTGTAGCATTTTTGACAGCTTCCAGGGCCTCCTCTACCTGCTGCACAGCATCTAGCTAAGGGAAAAATATTTTCCTAATAATTTTGAAGAGGAAAGTCTTCATCCTACTCTTGGAAATTCTGCAGACAACCAGGCATTTGGGAAGGATGGAAGAAAACACAGCAGAGGAGATACAAGCAGCAAGCTTCTGGTGAGGGCTCTGAGGCCTGTAAGTATTGTATTCTTTGTGGTACTGTAATTTCCTTTTCAGATTGTTCATTGTGAGTGCTCAGAAATGTTGTGTGTTGACTTTGTAATCCTTCTACTTTGCTGAAATTATTCTAACATGTTTATTTGTTTGTTGTTATGTGTATGTGAAATCATTAGGGTTTTCTACGAAGAAGATCAAATCATCTGCAAGTACAGATCATTTGACTTCTTCCTTTGCGATGTGGTCGCCTTTTATTTTTTTCTTGCCTAATTGTTCTGGCTAGAACTTTCAGTATGATGTTGAATAGAAATGACAAAAGTGGACATCCTTGCCTTGTTCCTAACCTCAGAGGAAGGCTTTCGACAGTCTTTCACTGTTGAGTATGTTTGCTGTGGATTTTTCATAGATGGTTTTTATTATGTTGAAGTGGTTTTTTCTATCCTAGTTTACTGAGTTTTCTTTTTATCACAAAAAGATGTTGAGTGTTGTCAATTGTTTTTTCTGCATCAATTAAGATGATCGTGTTTTCCCCCCTTTATTCTGTTACTGTGATTGATTTTGGTATGTTGGATCATCTTTCTATTGCAGGAATAAATTTCACTTAATCATGGTGTATAATCCTTTTACTATACTGACTTTAGTTCGTTAATATTTTGTTGAGAATTTCTACAGCAATGCTCGTAAAGGGTATAGTTGTCTTTTCTTTCTTTTTAGAGATTTTATTTATTTATTTGACAGAGAGAGGGAGAACACAAACAGAAGGAGTGGTAGACAGAGGGAGAGGGAGAAGCAGACTCCCCACTGAGGGGCTTGATCCCAGGACCCTGAGATCATGACCTGAGCTAAAGGCAGATGTTTAGAAGGCATTTAATTGACTGAGCCACTCAGGTGCCCCGATAGTTTTCTTTTCTGGTAATGCCTTTGTTTGTCTTTGGTGTCAGGATAATGCTGGCTATATAGAATGCATTAGGAAATGTTCCCATTTCTTCAGTTTTTTGGAAAAGTTTGGGAAGGATTGGTATTAGTTTTTCTTTAAATGTTTGGTAGAAGTCCCCAGTGAAGCCAACAGGTCCTGGGCTTTTCTTTGTTGGGAAATCCCTAAGTATTAATTCAGTCTCCTACAGATCTATTCAGATTTTTAAAAAAAATCTTCATTTAGTCATAGCTTTTGTGTTCCTAGGAATTTGTCCATTTCATCTAGGCTATCAAATTTGTTGGCATACAGTTGTTTGTAGTATTCTCTTACACTCTTCTTAATTTTTGTAGAATCAATTGTAATGTCCACACCTTCATTTTTTATTTCAGTAGTTTGAGTAGTCTTCTCTTTCTTTTCTTTTCTTTTCTTTTCTTTTCTTTTCTTTGTCCATCTAGCTAAGGGGTTTCTCAATTTTGTTGATCTTTTCTGAGAACCAACTCTTGGTTTCATTGAATATTTTTTTCTATTGGCTGAATCATGGTCTCTATTTCTTCATCTCTGCTCTAATCTTTATTATTTCCTTCCTTGTACTAGCTTGTTTTTTTGTATATTTTTTATTGGAGTTCGATTTGCCAACGTATACTATAACACCCAGTGCTTATCCGTCAAGTGCCCCCTCAGTGCCTGTCACCCGATCCCCCCGCCCACCTCCCCTTCCACTACCCCTTGCTCATTTCCCAGAGTTAGGAGTCTCTCATGTTCTGTCATCCTCTGATATTTCCCATTCATTTTCTCTCCTTTCCCCTTTAATCCCTTTCACTATTTTTTATATTCCCCGAATGAATTAAACCCTACAATGTTTGTCCTTCTCCGATTGACTTCACTCAGCATAATACCCTTCAGTTCATTCCACGTCAAAGCAAATGGTGGGTATTTGTCGTTTCTAATGGCTGAGTAATATTCCATTGTATACATAGACCACAGCTTCTTTATCCATCTTTCGATGGACACCGAGGCTCCTTCCACAGTGTGGCTATGGTGGACATTGCTGCTATAAACATTGGGATGCAGGTGTCCTGCCTTTTCATTGTATCTGTATCTTTGGGGTAAATCCCAGCAGTGCAATTGCTGGGTCGTAGGGCAGTTCTATTTTTAACTCTTTGAGGAACCTCCGCACAGTTTTCCAAAGTGGCTGTACCAGTTCACATTCCCACCAACAGTGCAGGAGGGTTCCCCTTTCTCCACAAACTCTCCAACATTTGTTGTTTCCTGTCTTGTTAATTTTCACCATTCTCACCGGTGTGAGGTGGTATCTCATTGTGGTTTTGATTTGTATTTCCCTGATGGCAAGTGATGCGGAGCATGTTCTCATGTGCTTGTTGGCCATGTGTATGTCTTCTTTGGTGAAATTTCTGTTCATGTCTTTTGCCCATTTCATGATTGGATTGTTTGTTTCTTTGCTGTTGAGTTTAAGTTTTTTTTTTTAAAGATTTTATTTATTTATTCATGATAGTCACACAGAGAGAGACAGAAAGGCAGAGTCACAGGCAGAGGGAGAAGCAGGCTCCATGCACCGGGAGCCCGACGTGGGATTCGATCTTGGGTCTCCAGGATCGCGCCCTGGGCCAAAGGCAGGCGCCAAACCGCTGCGCCACCCAGGGATCCCTTTGCTGTTGAGTTTAATAAGTTCTTTATAGATCTTGGATACTAGCCCTTTATCTGATAGGATATTTGCAAATATCTTCTCCCATTCTGTAGGTTGTCTTTTAGTTTTGTTGACTGTTTCTTTTGCTGTGCAGAAGCTTTTTATCTTGATGAAGTCCCAATAGTTCATTTTTGCTTTTGTTTCTCATGCCTTCATAGATGTATCTTGCAAGAAGTTGCTGTGGCCAAGTTCAAAAAGGGTGTTGCCTGTGTTCTCCTCTAGGATTTTGATGGATTCTTCTCTCACATTTAGATCTTTTCACCCTTTTGAGTTTATCTTTGTGTCTAGTGTAAGAGAATGGTCTAGTTTCATTCTTCTGCACATGGCTGTCCAATTTTCCTAGCACCATTTATTGAAGAGACTGTCCTTTTTCCAGTGGATAGTCTTTTCTGCTTCGTCGAATATTAGTTGACCAAAGAGTTGAGGGCCCATTTCTGGGTTCTCTATTCCGTTGCATTGATCTATGTGTCTGTTTTTGTGCCAGTACCATACTGTCTTGATGATCACAGCTTTGTACCTTGTAGTAGCTTTGGGTTTAGTTTGTTTTTCATTTTCTAGTTCCTTAAATTGTAAGTTAGATTGTTGATTTGAGATATCTGTCTTATTTTTTAATGTGTTTATAGCTATAAACTTCCCTTTTAACACTGCTTTTGTTGAATCTCATAAGTTTTGGTGTTTGCATTCTTTTTCACTGATTTGTAAGTATTTTCTGATTTCCCTTGTGATTTCTTCTCTGATCCATTGCTTAAGAGTATGTTGTTTAACTTCCACAAACTTGTGAATTTTCCAGTTTTATTTCTGCTGTTGATTTCTAACTTCATCCGGTTGGGGTCGGAGAAGATATTTTGTATGAAAACTACATTTTTTATATCTATTTAATTTTTTCCCTAACACATGGTCTATCCTGGGAGATGTCCCATGTGCACTTGAGTAGATGTGCTATTGATGTTGGGTTGATTGTTCTGTAAATGTTAAGTTCTGTTTCCTTACTTACCCTGTGTGATGGTTCTATCCATTATTGAAAGTAGGGTATTAGTGTCTCCAACTCTAATTGTAGCACTGTTCTTGTTCTCCCTTCAGTTCTATCAGTTTTTACTTCATAAATTTTGCTGGACTGCCATTATTTGTTTATAAAAGTTTATAGTTATATCTTCTTGCCATATTGAGCCTTTTATTAATTATATAAAGTTCTTGCTTATCTCTTGTAGGCCTTTTTTTTTCTTGTAGGCACTTTTTTTTTCTTTTTAATTAATTTTTATTGGTGTTCAATTTACCAACATACAGAATAACACCCAGTGCTCATCCCGTCAAGTGTCCCCCTCAGTGCCCGTCACCCATTCACCCCCACCCCCCACCCTCCTCCCCCTCCACCACCCCTAGTTCATTTCCCAGAGTTAGAAGTCTTTATGTTCTGTCTCCCTTTCTGATATTTCTCACACATTTCTTCTCCCTTCCCTTATATTCCCTTTCACTATTATTCATATTCCCCAAATGAATGAGAACATACACTGTTTGTCCTTCTCCGGTTACTGTGGCCAAGTTCAAAAAGGGTGTTGCCTGAGTTCTCCTCTGGGATTTTGATGGAATCTTGTCTCACATTTAGATCTTTCATCTATTTTGAGTTTATCTTTGTGTATGGTGCAAGAGAGTGGTCCAGTTTCATTCTTCTGCATGTGGATGTCCAATTTTCCCAGCACCATTTATTGAAGAGACTGTCTTTCTTCCAGTGGATCGTCTTTCCTCCTTTATCGTATATTAGTTGACCATAAAGTTCAGGGTCCACTTCTGGGTTCTCTGTTCTTTTCCATTGATCTATGTGTCTGTTTTTGTGCCAGTACCACACTGTCTTGATGAACACAGCTTTGTAGTACAACCTGAAATCTGGCATTGTGATGCCCCCAGATATGGTTTTCTTTTTTAAAATTCCCCTGGCTGTTTGGGGTCTTTTCTGATTCCACACAAATCTTAAAATAATTTGTTCTAAGTCTCTGAAGAAAGTCCATGGTATTTTGATAGGGATTGCATTATACGTGTAAATTGCCCTGGGTAACATTGACATTTTCACAATATTAATTCTGCCAATCCATGAGCATGGAATATTTTTCCATCTCTTTGTGTCTTCCTCAATTTCTTTCAGAAGTGTTCTATAGTTTTTAGGGTATATTTTGAGAACCATTTGAATGGTAAATGGTTCTCCAACCTTTTATTTTCAGGTTGTAGGTGTCCTTCTGTGTAAAATGAGTCTCTTGTAGACAGCACATAGATGGGTCCTGCTTTTTTATCCAGTCTGAAACCCTGCGCCTTTTGATGGGGTCATTAAGCCCATTCACGTTCAGAGTTACTATTGACAGATATGAGTTTAGTGTCATCATGATATCTATTTAGTCCTTGTTTTTG